GCGGTCTGTGAACAGAGTCTGAAACCCCAGCGGTGTCTGTGCACTGAGCCTCTGGTCCGTGGTTCTCGAGCAATCCCTGCAGTGGGCCGCTCTGGGGGGCACGACTCCAGGCCACATCCACGTGAGGGGCGGGTCACCCCCACCGTGCGGGGCGGGAGGCCGAGGGCCCGGGGGGCTAGTGAACGTGCCCACGGCCAGAGGACGGTCGGGCAGCCCTCACGCGGTCTGGCCTCCGCCACGATTACTCAGCCTGTGAGTAATAACCACACGACGGGGGGGGGGGGCACTTCGGGTTCACCTGCCGACCCTGCGCGGTGCTGACCGCAGAGAAGGCTTCATAACTGATGCCCAAGGGCATGAGCCCTTGACTGCAGGCGCGGCAGGTCGACGGCCGCTGGGTCACATCCTGGGAAGGAGAGCACGTCACCCTGTCTGTCTTCAAGACATTGTCAAGGAGGGCTGTGGGGTGCTGGCGGGGTTCATGCTGCGTCCCCACACCTGGAACAGAACCTGGCCCTTACGAGGCGCTCGCTCTTGTTGAGGGAGGGCACCGGTCGGTCGACACTTGGAGAAAGTTTCCGGGCACCGGGAAGGAGAGTCCAACCCCGGGGTCACCTTGGAACCGGTGCACCTGCACAGGGCCCGCATATGAGTGTGGGTTCACTCACACCTGGATGGCACTGCGGGCCACCCCAAGTCAGGACCCGAATCCGGGAGGGCTCTGCTATGCCGGTGGGCAGGCTGTCCTGAGCTCTGGAAAGACCTCGCCGCGCTGAGTGTCACCTTGGGGACCATGAGATACCTACCCCACAAATGTCTGTGAGGCGTGGAGGTGATAATGTGTGCAAAGTGCCCGATGTGGCCTCTGCCTGTGGATGACCCATCAGTGAAAACCGTTCACTTAAACAGTAAAGTATCTGATAGCTGGGTGCTCTTAAATGCTTTATAACTGGTGGTGACTTGCTTTGCAGAGATGGTTTGGTATAAAACGTAAGTGGCTGCTACGTGATCTGGGGAGCGAGGTCGCCCCAAGTTCATTTACAAGGTGGCTCGTGCCCCCTCTTGGCGCGGAATGATTGCGTGTGCCTTTACGGCTACCGAAAATACGACAAAAGGTCATGACTTCCGCCCAAGCCGACAGAGAGAAAGGACTGGGGGAGAAGGCAGGGTTACTGCCGACCGACCAGCAAAGAGCACCCACCTGACCGTGAATTTCACAGCACGCTGCACAAAGGGAAGTTACACGGCCGACAGCATGTGGGACCCAAAATCTGACAAACTGCCAGGCAGAATTTAGGTATTCGTGGCAGGACACAAGCATCCACGCTGTCATTTATCACGCAATTGACCAGAAATCTGGCTGGGAAAGTGCTGTCCTGCCCCCGAGACAGCCGTTATAATTAATCCAGTGTTCCCTACCATCACCCCTGCTGCCTACAGAGCTTCAAACACTGCATCTGTTTTGAGGAATAACCTTTCAAAAATAACTTGCACAAAAAAAAAAAAAAAAAGATCGACACACACAACATCTAGATGGATCTCAGAACATCGTGCTGAATGAGGGAAAAGGGACGACAGACAAAAGCAAATGCTATATGTCTCCATTTCCATGAAACTGAAAAACGGGCAAACGGATCTATAGGGACAAGGGCAGGACAGTGACTGCCCGGAGCCAGGGCGCTGGGGTGTGGGAGCAAAGAGGACGAGGGAAGCCACGGGTAAGGGACTATTCTGTGTTTTGCCTGTGCTCTAGATCCGTGGACACCTACGTGCATGTATGTATATGTTTTGTCAGAAGTCCTTGAACCGTGTACTGGAAAGGAGTGTATTTGTTCTGTGTATCTTTATCTTAATAAAGTTGATCTTGGGGCACCTGGGTGGCTCAGTCGGTTGGGCGACTGACTTCGGCTCGGGTCATGATCTCGTGGTCCATGAGTCCGAGCCCCGCATCAGGCTCTGTGCTGAGAGCTCAGAGCCTGGAGCCTGTTTCAGATTCTGTGTCTCCCTCCGTCTCTCTCTTACCCTCCCCTGTTCATGATTTGTCTCTCTCTGTGTCTAAAATGAATAAACGTTAAAAAAAATTAATAAAAAAAAAAATAAAGTTGATCTTGGGGCGCCTGGGTGGCTCAGTCGGTTAAGCATCCGACTTCGGCTCAGGTCGTGACCTCACGGCTCATGGGTTCGAGCCCCACATCAGGATCTGTGCTGACAGCTCAGAGCCTAGAGCCTGCTTCAGATTTGTGTCTCCTCTCTCTCTCTCTCTGCCCCTCCCCTGAGCGCTCGCTGTCTCTCTCAAAAATAAATAAACTTTAAAAAAGAAAAAACTTACACACACTTTATCCTAATTGCCAAAGCTTAGAGGCAACCAAGGTGTCCTTCAGCAGGTGGATAAATCAGTAAACTGAAGTACGTTCAGATAACGGAATAGCGAACGCTAAAAAGAAGTGAGCTATCCAACCATGAAAGCATGCAGGAACCTTAATGCGCGTCGCTCGGGGAAAGAAGCCGATCTGGAAAGACTACTTACTGTGTCATTCCAGCTCCAGGACGTCCTGGAAAAGGCAAAACTACAGACACACTGAGAAGATGAGAGGCTGCCAGGGGTCGTGGGAGGAGGGAGGATGAACAGGTGGAGCACGGAGGGGCTTGGGGCAGTGAGACCAGGCTGTGTTATTCTATAATGATGGACACGTTTGTCCAGACCCACAGAATGAACACCAGGAGTGACCCCACGTAGACTATGGACTCTGGGCGATGACGAAGACGTGTCCCTGCAGGTTCATCAGCGTAACAAGTGCACCGTCTGGTGGGGGTGCTGGGGGAGCGGGAGGCTGTGCGTGCTGGGGGTGGGGGATTAGGGACTCCTCGGTTCTGCCAGAGGCGGCACGTATCACACCCGCCGGGAAGGTTCACTGGCATCCCCAGATGCGGCACATTCCCTCTGGTTTCTCAGCCCAGTGTTACTGGACTTTGACATCGCAGGTCTTGGTAGCTGCTTGGGATTCCCTTACTGTAAGTGAGTTATAATAAAAAGCTCTTTCTTAGCTCCTTCCTTTACCCACATGTGGTTTGTGGCCAGCACAGGCTCACACCCCAACGTAACACCGCAGGTGGGGTCTGCCGTGGTCGTGAGTGACGAGGGGCGGGGCAGGCCAGGGAGACATGCTAGCAGAGAGGACAGCCGGCCCGGCACAGCCCTGGGCTCCACGGGGACCACCTCAGTGTTCAGGCCCCACATGTGCACACGGCCAGGAGCACCAGAGTTACCTGTGCTGTTTGTTAAAATGCGAATTCCTGGCCGCACCTCAGACATCTTGCCTGGGAATCTCTCATGCTGGGACCCAGGAACTCGTATTTTTAATTAGTTCCCAGAGGGGGGCGCCTGGGTGGCTCCGTCGGTTAAGCGTCTGACTTCGACTCGGGTCATGATCTAAGATTCGTGAGTTCGAGCCCCGTGTCAGGTTCCGTGCTGATAGCTCGGAGCCTACTTGGGATTCTCTCTCTCCCTCTCCTTCTGCCCCTCCCCTGCTTGCCTCTCTCAAAATAAACTTAAAAAACAAAATTCCCGGAGCAATTTGCCCAGACCGTGGGGTCTGAGAAGCCCTGCCCTAGTGGGGCCCTGTGGCAAGTACTGCACACGCCTGAGCTCGTAAGCACTCTGGGGGGGGGGGGGGTTACAATCCCGAGTGTTCAAACAAGGACATGTGACGGTTCGCGAAGCAGAGGAGTCTGTCCTGCATGTTCAGCAGGCGGGGGACAGCACTGCAGCTCAAAACGAACTGCAAAGGACCCCCTTTCTGTGTGCTTTTCCCGCCGAGTTGCAACCAGCAGAGAGGACAGCTTCAGGGAGTGAAAAGGCAACCTGCAGTGACCCCTCGCCAACCACGGGTGCCCACCCCCCAAAACACTCCCATAGTGCCACTAGGGGGAATTCCTTGGGTCATGGTCAAGGGCATCCAGCTGCTGCCCTTTGGTTGCTGGAGTGCTTGCAGGCACCTCCCAGGAGCTACCAGACCATTCTAAAGGCCACGCAGTGCCCCGATCACTGTTGTGCTAGCGCCAAAAGGGCAGGGACACCACCACTGGCAAAATGGGTCCCCAAGGAAGGTCCTCAACGGGCCTTTGTGGTCTCTAAAGAGTTGAGTGCAATGGACTCTCCTTTGCAAAAACATTTAATTTGTCAGAAGTGGTTAAAAAAAAAAAAACAAAAAACCACCACCGTCCCTTCTCACTGAGCGAGAATCTTAGACTAATGTGAACTTTTCCCACATCCTTCATCGGCCCCGACTTAGTTACAAGAGTCATCACCTCAGTCTGAAAAGCCCATGGGTGTTGTGGCATTCCGTCTAATTTAAAAGATGCGAAAGGCCAAGAAAATCATTCCAATCTATTATCAAAATCCCAAAACTCAGGGGGAAAAGTTGCAGCTGTGGAAAAGTTCAGATCTAATTCTGTTTTTGCAGGGGTAAAAAAAATGCTATGAAGGAAATTACAGACGGCAAGGTCGGGGCGGGGAGCATCTTAGTGCACCCTTGCCTCAGGATGTGCTTTTAGCAACACCGCCCCCTTGCCATGAAGAAATGTTTTTTAAGAGGAAAAGACCTAAATTTTTAAAGAGCCCTTCCACATTAACAATAACACAGGTCCATGCTCATGGGGAGCACAAACTAGAAAGAAACCTTTGGGTCTATAAACCACATTCCCAGGAGGCTACGGGAGCACGGTGACCCAGCGGTGTGGCTGCAATCCCGACCATGATGAGCCACCACCCGTGGCCAAGGGGCCAGGGGAGGGGGAGGGGAGGTGTCTGCACACATCCTGTAAGTAGTAAGAGACCCCGGTACCTGAACCTTGGAGCTGCAAACTCCTCCTTCATGAGACCCCAGCCCCAAGCCTCACAGGCAGGGCTAGAATCTTCCCAGCCCAGGTGACCACGTTTCCCACGGGAAGGTGCCTCACCTGCTGCTCTGCTCTGAGGGGGGAAAAGACGGGCAACTCTATCACAGACTTGAGGAGCTGGTTTATTTCATCTCGGCATACGCAGACACATACAAGGTTTTACAGCATTTGTGCCCAGGTGGTGAATACCAAAGCGTTAATAAATACATTAACTGCACGCAAGCATCAGCTGGCCTGAACCGGGCCACGAGCAGGGACGGTGGGTCTCTAATCAACGCCACACTGCAGTTGTTTGCGGCTTGGAAGAGTTTTGGAGGAGCCTCGGTATCACGTGAGAACACATCCAGCCTGCACTTCAGCTCATTGTAAGTGATTCACTGAGCACGCGGAGAGCGGCTGTGCCCGCAGGTGGGGCGTGAGGGCCGGTGGCCGCCGGGCATCTCCCCGTGTGCGGGTCGAGTGCCGCCGACTGCTTACTGACGGGGAGGCGGGCGCCCCCGGACCGGGTGCTCATTGTGAGTGCCACCGTCTTCTTCGTTTCGTTAATGCCCAGATAAAACATTTTGTAAGGCCAGGAAAGCATCTGAGATAAGACAACACAACACAGCACCTTTGCTTACACTTCACCCCCACAAGGTGTCACAGCCGGCTGCGTCCAGAAACTACCTTGACTTCAGGAAAAACGGCAAAGGGCCTCCAACACATCCCGTTTCCAAAGCTTGCCCAGGAAGTTACCCGAGAGACCCACAGACGAAGCGGCTGCTACCAGCATTACTAAGGCAACAGCGGAAAGCGACAGAAATACAGCAGAGGGCTCCGCTTCTCAGGCGTCTGCGGCAGAACCCACGCTGTAAGATCTTTCACTGGAGCCAAAGCATGTCCACAGCTTCGGCTAGTTCTCTTAGAGAAAAAGAGAGAGGGGCCACCAGAGACGCAGAACTCCAATCAGCAGGTCCCGGACGCAGCTCCAGAAAGCTGCCGAGCCGTCCGCGCCGGTGCTGAGGCTGTGCCCGAGACCAAGAGAAAACCCAGGAAGTGAAGCCCGTGTCCCTGGCTTTCAAATGAACCTCGACGGACAGCACAAAACCACTACTGGTAACCAACCAAAGCATCAAGCTTTCATGTCCACCACAGTTTCCCCTGACGATGCCACCGCTCTCTCAAATCTGTAGAAATGTCAGTGTGCGGGGATGAATTGTATGAGAACTGTGGATGGTTGTCCTCCAGACACTGGCTTCACTTGCCGCTGACAGATCGGTCATCAGGAGCATGTCTGCACCTCCACGGGTAACGAGTAACACCAAGGCATTCCCGCACAGTGCTGGGTGCAGACTCGGGACGTCACGTGGTACGCGATTAGACCCCTCCTGGCGGCAACAGCCCTCAGAGGCCAGTCCCCGCAGGGACTGCCCGCCGCCCCCTCCCCACGCAACCCTCCGCATCGGCGACCCCAGAGGGATGGCTTTTTGGCTCGTGTGACTAGTACAAACCCGTGCGGCTGCACCTGCAAATACCGCCCGCCCCCCGAAAGCAAAATCAACTGGTCCTCCTGGCGTGCCAGGTCCTGCAGTAATTTTTATGAGGTATTCCTATTTAGAAATAAGACACAGAAGATTCTACAGCCCTCACTCACCCTTAGGCCTCCCCAGATGTCCTCGGGCATTCCACCGGGACGAGCCCCCAGGGCTCCACGGCCAGTTCCCCCCGGAAGCGCCGCAAGGTCTAGGACCAGCACTTCTTTATTAAATCAAGTCACAAAACAAAATACAGAGCTGCAGGTGGGTGTGTGATTGCAAGCCCATCTGCACCGGACACCCGACGCTCCCCAAGTCCCCCGGTACCCCCTGTGCGGGTGACTCTAGTTAGGAAGTCCCCTTCCGTGGCATTTTGTTTTTGAACAGTAAGCATCACAGGAATGGTTTCTCAAGCAAAATCACAGTGATCATATTTCACGAATTCGATATTTAAGGAAAGAAAATATTAGCCTGGTTCCATGTCATATAAAAGCTTTAGCATAAGAACATTCTAGAGAAAAAATGTGCTGTGATACATTTCTTTCAACAAACTTGTGTCCTTTTGCTCTAAATTCTCTTTCTACTATCATTTCTGCATTCTGCTCCTATAAAAGGCCGATAAAGTCAGGCAACAGGACGTCTGTCTGTCTTAAGATGCTTAACCAGGCTGCCAAGCTGTCCTCCTGGTTGGTGAGCAGAGTCACGAGCAAGCACACAGATCACCAGAATGAATAAACTTGTAACCGAAACCGTAAACTTCATTCCTCTGGCACATGCATCAAGATGAAACCGGTCATTTCTAAACATACTTAACCGGTAACTTTCATAACCACAGACTCTAACCTGTTTCCCAATTACCCACTATTGCTACAGAGACGTCAACCCCCATCACTGGATGAACAAGTAAGGAGCCATAAGGTGTGTATGATTCCATCTAATTACATGCCAGTGACTTTCAATGCAAACTTTTCCCGTCATAATCAAAGAGCAGATTGGGTTCGGAAGCCAAATCGCTTCGCCTCCATTTGTGAGCATGTATCGTACCCTTAAGTTCTTAGTAAGTAGTAAACTCAGTCTACACCGATCTGGAAAGTAAAATGTTATAACAAATGAGGATCGACCGATTTGTTTTTAATGCTTGTGATCCCTCAAAGTACTGAGCTCCACGCTAAGTCTACTAGGGTTTTTTGGAATTCAATTAGAATTCCCGTAATTACTTACTATTTACGTTTTAAGTAGATGTTATTTTCCCTATGCTAATATGCTTTTTGTCACTCTGCTATGTTTTCTTAGAGTCATGCTTAAAAAATTAATTTCCCTCATCAGAATTACATAACATATATTGGGAACAACCATAAATAGCGGGTTCCAAATGTGCCTCCATGTTGGTCTTCGGAAGCATCAAAAGGAGTGGTTTTAACCTTCTTTCTCTGGGAGGGAGAGGTAATCAATTCTTTGAGCCCATTATAATACATGAAGGTGGCTGAGAATATTCAGACACTGTCTATCAAAGACTCCTCTTCCAACAGACAGGCGTCCTTGTCAGTCAGCTTTCCCTACTCATGATCTGCTCTTTGGGAAACACTCATTCACCAAAGATCTAAGATTCAAAAAAAGAGCAAATCATTACTATTTCATCAAACATAATCATTAAGATCCTTTAACTTGAAAACATTTAACCGTCAGGGGATGCCTGGCTGGCTAAGTCGTAGAGCGTGACTTCTGATTTCTGGGTTGTGAGTTCCAGCCGGACCTTGGGGGTAGGTACCACTTAAAAATAAAATCTCAAAGTATTTAAGCATCGTAAACTGCTCTTGAGAGAGGGGTGCGAGACCCACCCTCTGTGGCATCTGCGGTAGACACGGGAAACGTCTCTGCTGGGTGCTGGACAAGAGACCCCACCTTCTTGCGAAACCTGGAACAAACCCAACCCACACTTGAGCTTATGATGACATGAGCCTTTTAAGTAATTAGAAAAGGTTTAGGAGTTCTACTTATCAGTTATAAGGGGCCCAACGGCAGGGTGGCCCTCTCTCGGTGGCTCACCAATACAGCTCACGGTGGCCCACTTCAGGGATCTCGCTGCAGCCTGGTGGCCCCCGAGCCAGCTACTGCGCAGGCTCACGTCCGGCCAGCTCTCCACTCCGCCCGGGAGCGCACGTGCCCCCGAGGACCCGGGCGCACCCCCGCCCACCCGGGCACGCTCTGTGTCCCGCCCACTGTACCCCAGGCCTAATCTTCCCAGTCCTTTTCCTTCTCCCTCAGGTATCCCGTGTCATCCTTGTAAGGCTCCCTATTTGCACACAGCTTACACCGTCGACCCCGTTAAGCAAAGCGACGCGGAAAGGAACGCGGAATGGGGCGGCAGACCTTAAGACAGCACTGCGAAAAATCTTCAAGGCCGCGCGACAAGCTTCCAACTTATAAGCGTTTCAGTGGTGCCCGCGGACAGCGCCCACTCTCTCTCTCTCCCCGCCCCCCCTCCCCCTCTCCCCACTTGAATCTCGGCCCACGGGGGGCGTCCCTGAGGGAGATGCCCAGGTGGCCCCAGCCCGCCCTACGCGGCGCCCTCCTCGCCTCGGTCCGGCTTCTCGGGCAGGTTGAGCACGAACGGGAAGAGCGCGCCTCGGGCGTCCAAGGGGGCGCGGAGCGGCGCGGGCTCGAAGCTGCCGCCCTCGCCCGCGCCCACGTCCGCGCCGGGCTCGCTGTCCCGCGGGGGCACGAAGCGCCAGGTGCCCGCGCGGCTCACGCAGTAGATGGCGCCGTCCAGCGCGGCGCAGCGGAAGGGCTGCAGGCCGGACGGCGCGCCCGGGGGCCGCAGGTGCGCGGCGCAGCGGCTCCACTGCTTGGCCAGGCAGTGGTAGCGCAGCACGCTGACGCCCCCCGCCGGCGCGGCGGCCGCCTGCGAGTCGCCGCGGCCCCCGCCCAGGTCGAAGCGGTAGATGAAGCCGTCCAGGGCCACCATGGCGGCGGAGCGCTCCCTACTGCTGCTGCACGGGCACTCCTGCCACTCGTCGCGCCGCGGGTCGTACTTGAGCAGGCGGTAGAAGAGGGAGCCCCCGGACACGTAGATCTCGCCGTTGCAGGTGGCGGCCTCGTGCGCCACGGCGAAAGCGCCCCGGGGCAGCGGGGCCACGGCGGCCCAGCGGTCGGCGCGCGGGTCGTAGCGCTCCACGCTGAGCAGACACTCGCCGCCCACGGCGTACAGGTGGCCGTCCAGGGCCAGCAGTTGCAGCTGCGAGCGCGCCTGGCGCAGCGGCCGCACGGTGCTCCAGCGGTCGGTGGCCGGGTTGTAGCAGAAGACCTGGTCCGAGGGGCGCGCGCGGCCGTCGGGCCCCGCGGGCCCCACGCCGCCGGCCACGAAGAGGTAGTTGTAGAGCACGCACAGCCCGCAGCCCCGCGCCGGCGCGCCCTCGGGCAGCCGCGTCAGCTCGCGCCACTCGCCGGCCGCCTCGTGCAGGCAGTAGACGGCTGCGTCGCCGCGGGCCTCGGCGTCCCCCGACGGGCTCT